ATGCTGATTTTGGAATAATCTATTTCGTTATCTGCTCCCGTTCTCCTGCCCGCGGCGGGCAAGTTTATAATGCCCACTCGGAGAGAACCCAACGTGGGGTTCTCACATTTGAAAAGAACCCCACGTAGGGTTCTCCTGCCACATCAGCAGGTGGGTAGGATAAAATTGCCCGCCGCGGGTAAGAGAACGTTCTCGTGTTCAAAAAATACTGATTATATATTAATTTGTGTTTAATGAATTGGTGAAAGTTCTGTGTCAAAGACACGTCACAAAATTTAAATAATTTTTTTAAAAAAATAAGAAACTTAGACTACTATACTGCTGACGTTTTATGTGCATCTTTATTTTCATTTTTATGCTTCAAACGAGCACGTTAATGTCTAAATTTTTTACTCAATTATTGTTTCATCTAGGGGTGGGTAACGTTTATTTTTTTAATCGGTTACCGTGTCATATTCTTGGTGTTTTCCTAGGAGTTCCCTCCCTGCCCGAACAAAATAGGAAAAAAAAAATTTAATATGAAAAAGTAAGTTATTTGAAAAAAAAAATTAGTTTTATTATTATTATTATTTTTTAGTTCTATTCTATCCAGGGAAATAATAGCTGGAAAATAGGAAATTTTACGATAAAGTGAAATTTATGGCTTTCTAACCTATGGAAATAAGTCAATTTGAATACCTCTAACTATTCTTTGATAGTTGGATATTTATTCTTTGGTTCTGAGTTGACCAAATATAATAATATAACATATTTTAAAGGGGTTTGTCTGGTCTCTCACGCTGACGGAGCCCACATATTTTAAAAAAAGTAAAAAAAATACACCCACCCCATGTACAGTGAGTTGCCTGGCATTGAAAACCACCCTCTCCCCTGTGATGCTACACCTGTACGTGTAGCATCACTCTATTTTAAAAGCCCATACTTTTGGACGGTACCAAATAAGATTCAAAAAAGAAAAAAAAAGTTATGCTACACTTACAGAAAGGGCGTGGGTGGGTGGTTTCACAGACATTCACAAATGCAAGGGGGGACGGGTTTTTTTTTTTCATTTTTTATTATGGTGGGCCCCACACATGTGAGTGAGCGTAAAAATTTTGTGAAAATTTCTTTTGTACATATGGATTAATCCAAAGAAAAAAAGGTTGAACATGTTATTGTTCAATCTAGTTTAATAAACATGTCATTAATATTTTATTGTTAAAGGTTTGTGATAATGAAGTAGAACATGTTAGTGAAATCAACTACTTGAAAATACAAACTTGGAATTCAAAGTATTTGTTGTGGTATATTTCAAGTTTAAAAATTAGGAAAGTTAACTTGAATTGATCAGTACTAAACAATTGACTTTTTCTAAGCACAAGTTCAGTGAATTGAATCTTAAGTAGATAAATTTAATGGTGAACCAAGACAATTTGACAAAGAATATCCTTGGTTGGTTCTTCCATGAACAACTTTTTTGACTTTCCCCCTCATTTTCAATTGATGTGTTCCTTAGAATTATGTATATTTGAACCACCAGAAGTAAAAGTATTGACAGTTAAATATAA